TGCTTGTGACGAGTAACATCTCCGCTTACTTTCTGATGCAGCAAAGCGAGTTTTTTTGGAATCTGGAACTTGCACATCGTGGTCTTGAGCAGTCTTTTTTTGCCGGGATGAGACAAAGATAAATTCAGCTTGCAGAATTGCAGAATTCTGCTTTTGGATGAATTAACCATAATTAACCAGGGATGTTTTGCCACCAAACACTACGTCAGTTTCCAATAAGAGGGGTTTCTTTCACCTAATTAAGAACTGCAACCTCCGGAACCTCGGGTTCGGTCCGACGGTGAATGGATTTCTCCGCGCGGAATCGCCCAATGAATCGCCCATCGCCGGACTTCGGTCTTCGAAGCTGAAGAATTCGGTCACCAGGGGTGCCCCCCTGAGCTCCGCACGAGCTCCGGCAGAGACCCGCGCCCCAACTGGCCACCGGTCCGTGGTTGGCGCGGTCCGCACGCAGGACGAGCTGCGCACGTTGCACCGATCGTCCATCGAGATGGAGCTGGGCCAGGAGAGCTGCCGCAAGTGAAGCCGTGGGTCTACGGGTCGACGGGTGGAAACAGAAGCAAGAAAGAAGATGCTACGTCCCCAAGACCATCCATGTATATAGTTTACTATGTAGTTACCTACTCTTAAAACAGTTGGGAGGCCTTTTTTTCGGGATCAGTAGACTCAGTCGAAAGTCAACATGAATCAAAAGGGTTAAATTCATCGGCCGAAACTCTAGCGACCTTACACGACATCGAGATCACATGAAATATATACTCGTTTGACCAAACATCATTGCAATTCAGACTTCAGTCAGTCAAGGAATGGTAGCCATATGTGAGCCATGAACCAATGTGGGAGCCCGTGCGGCCTTTGCCTTGGCGAAGAAGGTTCCGGCAGAGCAACAGGTACAGTGGAAACAGCCAGCAGCATCCAGCAGCTACAATTACCAATAATTACTCCCCTACCACCACCCAAGGGTGCTGTTTATTGGACTGGTTTTTTTTTGTACCCGGTAGGTTTTTTTTTGGATCTGTTTCCGGGGTACAGGGTTTCAAATAGTACCGTTGGGTTGGGAAGTTTTTTGTTTTTTTTCAGAGTTGTTTCCGGGGTATAGGGTTTCAATTGGCACTGCTTCCGGGGTATAAGGTTTCAAACAGTACCGTTTGGTTGGGCAGGGCCCCTGCGGCAAAACTTCCACTTGCGGCCTGTGCGTCCCTATGGCAAGTCTATCCACTTGCGGCGTGGCAAGGCTATTTGGGCACCTCTGTGGGGTTTCTTT